GGACTAGATGACCTCTGAGTAGCCTTCTAGCCCTAAATTTGCTGTTTTTCTTTCTCTTTTCTTTTCTTTTCTTTTCTTTTCTTTTTTTCTTCCTTCCTTCCATCCATCTTTCCTTCCTTCCTTCTCTCTGTGGGAAGCAGCCAACCCCCCCTCCAAAAATAAAATAAAGTATTACTCCCAGAAAGGCTCATTCCACATTCCTGCCAGATAGAGATAATGAGATAATGAGCCTATAGAAAGTTTGGTTCCATTCAGGAAGTTCTTGACTTACAACCACAATGGACCTGAAATTACTATTGGTACGCGAGACATTTATTAAGTGAGTTTTGTCTCATTTTATGACTTTCCTTCCATAGTCATTAAGTGAATTACTTCATTTGCTAAATTAGTAACACTATTATTAAGTGAATCTCACTTATCCATTGATTTTGCTTGTCACGAAAGCTGATCACATGACCCCGGGACACTGCAACCGTCATAAATATGAGTCAGTTGCCAAGAAACGCAGCCTGTTTCTCTTTCAATTTCACAACCTTCCTTTCTTTCATAGCCTGTGGAAGAACAGGTGAGGACTCTAGACATACTCCCAGATTTGGGCCACAATGGATATATTTATTTATTTGGAAAACAGTCATTTACCAATCATAGTCTACCTGGGCACCATTACACACTTTCCTCCCTGCCTAGTATCAGCTTAGGAAAGTCATGTATTGAGACAATAGGGAAATTAGATCCTCAGCCCCAGCCTCTATAGAATAGAAAAAAGTCACCCTTACTCCTCCAAAGTGAAATTCCCACTTAGTTCTGGACAAATCTTACACTGCATTAAAAGAAGGATAGAATCAAGATCACATGAAGTTCTAGTACTGTTTTTACAAAGCTTTAGTACAGCCACACTTGTAATATTGCCTCCAGTTCTGTCACCACAATATAAAAAAAATATTTGAGACCCTGGAAAGCAGCAAAGATGATTAGGGAGCCGGTTATAGAAATTGGGTATTGTTAGGAATATAATCTAATGGTTGGGTTGGCAATATATAAATCATATAGCAATGCTTTACCTGTTTNTGCTACATTATCATTCTGAGGCCAGACCTGAATACAAAGGAGCATCTTATGGCCAGAAGAAATGGAGAAACATGAGTCAGAGGAATTTTGATTCTCAACATTTTCCAATAGGCCAAACCGAGAAAATTGTGCTAGTTATTCTCCATACATAAGCTGGGATAATGATTGGCTGAAGTAATTAAAGGATGGCTGGAAGATAGCATCCCCCATCCTCATCCACTACAAGCACAAGCTTCGCTGAGTTGTTTTAAGCAGTCCAAACATCATATCTGTCTTTTATCCTTAACCTTCTTGAGGCATGAAATACTATTTATTTTAAACATGACATTTGTGCAGTAGAAATTTTATTGATATGGGAAACATAATTGAGGGGGGGGGGGCTTAAAATCCCATCATCATAGTTGTATGTTTTTTTTTTCTTCATTTGGGGTTCTTTACAATATTGGACTCAAGATCTCAACCTCAGCAGCATAAGAATAATAGAGACATCACCTAGACACATTTTGAGGAGGATAATCTGGATTGCACAACTGGATTGCAGCTGGATTGCATAATACAGCTGTCAACCCTGTAGCCATCTTTGAATATCTTCAGGGTTGCCACAGTGAGGCTCGCTGGAGCTGTGGGAAAGGAAGGTGGGAGTAGAGATAGCTGAAGGGGATATTTACCAAAATAACATTCTGTCTCCTGGGAAACAAGGACACTCTCACCAGCACCTAGAGGGGCGTGGATGGGAGGCATCCAGCATGGGGGGAGAGATGTGATTGGGGCATGTGATGGTTGTCTGTAATGTGGGGAAAGAACTTTGGTGTTTGAATGGGGTGGGGAAAACCCGGGGGACTTCAGATTTGGTTTTTCGCCAGCTATGCCAATATGATATGCCTAATAAATATATGCTTTGAAGACCTTTGCATTAGAGTTTTGATTTCCTTTTTGTCATCGCATGCCGAAAGTGCACGTACATGCCCACACCCATAATGCAATGTGTGCATAACCTCCCATGCTCCCCCTATCCCCTTTGCATGCAAGCATGACCTCCCCTTGCACTCCATTTTTGGCCTAGTAGGCAGGGGTGGGTTTCAATTGTTATACTACCTATTCTGTGGGTGTGGCCTATCTTGTGGGTGTGGCTTAACTGTCATGTGCCTGGGTGGGTGTGGCTAACTTGATGTCATTCAATAGGAGATGTCATGGATTGGGTAAAATGTGGTGAAGCTCACTTAACAATGCTCTTGCTTAGCAAACATAATTTTGGCCTCAATTGTAGTCATAAGACAAGGACTATCTCTGCCTTCCTCTGCATAACAGCCTTGTT